CGTTTTTCCCAGCAGATGCTTCTAGCTAAAAGAATTGTGACTGGCCACCACGACTGTTAGAAATTATTACAATGGCTCCCAGTCCATGCTCAAAAAATTCAGCGCTCTGGGTGCTCCGGTTGCGGAGTTACGCCAAATTTCACATGTTCGTACGTGAGAAGCAACGTGGATGCTTTTTTTTTTGCTTGCGGTTACTTAAACACGAACCTAGGGAGTGCTCAAAAAGCTTCAGTACTCAAGCTGCTCTGGTTGCAGAGTTACGTCAAATTTCACATGTTCGTACGTGAGTGCCGAAGTGAGTGCTTTCTTCGCCCGCAGTTGGTCAAACACGGTCCTGAGTAGCGCTCAGAAAGTTTCAGCACTCCAGCTGCTCTGGTTGCAGAGTTACGTCAAATTCACGTGTGCACACGTGAAACGTAGGTGAGACGTGAATGTGATGTGTGAGTCATTTTTGCATGCATCTGGTCAAAAGCCACCATCGGTTATGCTCAGAAAGTTCAAAGCCTCTGGCTGGTTCAATTCCAAAGTTACAAAAGCGCATGCGTGAAATTTTCACGTGTTCTTATGCGAGATGCAGAAGAGTTGACAAGTAATTTACTTTCGCGGACGTAACAATGGGCGACGGGTAAAGCTGCAGAATTGCAGCTCTCTGCAACTTACTGATCACCTTAAATCTGGAGTTGGCATGGTGCCAGCTTAAACTTTGATGTGTGCGTACGTGAGGCGTGGGAGTAGGTGAAGACTGAATCTAAAATCTTTGGATTAGACGCGGCCAAGGATCATCTCTGTAAAGTTCCAGCCTCCTAGCATGAGTCGTTTTCGAAAGCGCTTCCCCGCCAAAAAAACTTCCACGTGCCCCTACGTGAGAACCATGCGGACTTGAGCGTCCATTTTGAGGATACGAGCCCGCACATGTGTGTAGATTAATTCACCAAATTTTCAGCCTTGCAGCTTTTGTGGCTCTCGAGATGAAAACTCGTTGAAAACAGACACACAGACACATATACACACATAGGCAACCCCTCGACAATATGCTTTTTGCATTGCACAGCTGCAAAAAACGCATAAA